TCCAGCTCTGGAGCCCTCAGCATAAGAAAGACATGGACCTGTTGGAGCGGGTCCAGAGGAGGGCCATGAAAATGCTCAGGGGGATGGAACACCTCTCCTATGAAGAAAGGCTGAGAGAGTTGGGGTTGTTCAGCCTAGAGAAGAGAAGGCTTTGGGGAGATCTTTTTTTTCAGCAAGACACAGCAACAAAGGCAGCAAGTCGTCTTTGTGAATTCATTGAGGAAAACCAGCACATTTGGAGGACACAGGCTTATGCCTGTAACTTAGACCCTGGTCTCTGAAATCTGAGGCTGTGTTTTCCTTAGGTTCACTTTTCCCATGAAATGCCTGGGGAGATCTTTTTTTTCAGCAAGACACAGCAACAAAGGCAGCAAGTCGTCTTTGTGAATTCATTGAGGAAAACCAGCACATTTGGAGGACACAGGCTTATGCCTGTAACTTAGACCCTGGTCTCTGAAATCTGAGGCTGTGTTTTCCTTAGGTTCACTTTTCCCATGAAATGCCTTGAATTTGAACTTCTTGACTGAATTGGGAGGCACCAGTTACTGATCATATTAGTCGCAGCTGTATGTTCCCAAGGAGTTACCATGTCAACATCTTGTACCCAGATCTTTGAAATGTAGCAGTTTGCAGTCAGATCAAATGTCAAAAATCACTGAAGGGTTTTTATGAAAAAAAGTGAAATTGCAATCAGACAAAAGGGAGAGAGGTGTTAATGCATTGCCTGCAACAGCAGTGAAATGGCCAGCAAATAAAAGAAAGCTGTGCTTGTGAGATCAGCTCATAACTCTTCTCTGAAGTCTTGTTTATGGGGTATAGAGATAGGAAGAAAGAGTTCCTAGTGCCCAAAGAACGGTGGATAATGCACTTAAGACGTTCATGGCCTGTACTATAGCTACACATGTAGCCCTTTACTACTAGTAAGTAGCTCTTGGAAATGGTCCTTCCAACTGTTGGGAGCTGGACTGAGCTGGTACTCTTCCCGGGTGCCTAGGACACAAGCAGGATCAGGGGAAGGGCTGGGAAGAAAGTAGGGAAGAAGTGGAAGAGAATACAGGTTGCTACTCTAACCCAGCCCTTTGGAAGGAGACTAGTCCTTTGGATGCCATAACGTAAAGGTTAAAAGTTTATTGAAAAACAAGGCCATCCAGGAACTCCTGAGTGTGCATTCATGTGATGGTTCAGAAGTGTATCCAAGGATGATCTAGCAGTGGAGGATGTGGTAAGTCCAGCGTGAATGACCTGTTGAACTTAAGGTGTTTCAGAAAGCTTTTGAATTCTTTTTGTTTGCTAGTAGAAACAGAGTCTGTGGAAAAATCTTTGCTCTGAGGAGTGAAAATTTTTCTTTAAAGCACAAAAGTGTGGTTTTACTTTTCAGCCTGGAGATGCAATCTACCCAAAAGATGAAAATGGAAAAATTATCTACCATGAGACAGACTTATGTGCCACCTGGGAGGTAAGCAAACACAACATCCAACCATATATGCTTTAAAACCACAGATCCTCATTCTCAGTTTTACTTGTGGCCTTCATAAACAGAGCTGAGGCATTTTGACAGGGCAAATGGATCAAATTCTATGAGCTCCATGGATAAATTTTACTTCTGTCCCTAAGGATGTTGCTTCTTGCCATCATTTAATTATTTTTATAATAAAATAAAACATTGTTGAAATATCTGACATCCACATTCCTTCTCTCAGAGAGTGCACTCTACATTTGCTAGTTGAGGTATCTGCAGGTTTTTACCAATCATCTCTCCTCTTTATCAGATCTTTACAGCAGGAGAAAGTTGGAGCCCTAAGAAGTGACTGGATCCTCCTCAAAAAGAGGAAGCTTTTCACCTTCAAGAAAAAACAGAATTTGCCCTAAAGCTCACAATAAAAAAAAAGCCACAAAAAAAAACAACAAAAAAACCAAAACCTTGCCATCGGAACAAGTTCACTCACTTCTGAATTTAACTATCAGATGAGAACGCAAGGTTTTTATGCTAAGAAAACTTGGAGGGAAGTAGCATTTGCCTGAAAGATTGCATCCTAAATTTGTTTGTGATGTGCTCTGGTCCTATAGCCACATGTCTCCTTAAGCCTACTGCCACTTGGCTTCAGGATCTCAGGTGAGGCAGAAAGTGGATTAGCAATCTCCTCACGTTCCTGCCTTTCGAAGCCTTGGACACTCTTTAATTCATGGCCAAAGCTGGTCAGCTCTCCTTCTGCACCAGGTCTGCTGTTCAAAAGAATCACTAATTCAGCCCAGCTCACACCAAGAGAGATAACATGGGCTACTACACACTCCACTTCAGCTTGCGCCATCCAGAACTGGATAGTTGTGTCCCAGTTTAACTCTATCAAGGTGCAGCAGATAAAGATGGAGAATGGGTGAAATTCTGAGTGAAAGTTCAGAGGGGGAGAGAGGCTGGGGCGGACTTGGGCTTCCCCCTGGCAGCTGAGCCATCCAGGCTGGGTCTCAGGGGGAACGGGGACTTCCACGTTAGCTGTTTATGTTACCCTTGTCTTTGGCTGATGCAGTTCATTCTTCTCTTTCACAGCTAGTTGCTCAAATGTTGAAAGCAACAGCTGTCTGAACACTTACGTTTTTATCTTCAAGTGGGTGCTTATTGTAAAGGATATATTGTAGCAGGTCACTCTCTTCAGCTAATAAGCCAAGAGAAAAATAGGTAGTGGTGAGTGCCTGCAAATAATAGCATCAATCTAAATAAAACTGGCTAAACTCAATCCAGATAATTTCACTCTCTCAGTATGGTGCTAGCAGGCAAAAATGGCTCCAGATTACTATATTTGCTGACTTGTCACTGGGTGATACAAAGCATATGAGGCCAACTAGAGGTCATCAAATACATGGTGCCTCTTACCTCCCTGCTTTCAGCTCCTGTGAGACAGAAAGGAATAACAAAACTGGCAGGAGGGGCATCCAGCTCCATGGTGGGGTCTGCTCTGCCTCAGACAGTCACTGAATCATTTGATGTTTCTGGGAGCAAAGGGGAAGACCGTAGGAAAGGACTCTCTTTCCCCTTAACAACCCAGCAGATGAAGCTAATGAAGACCAGGGCATGTATTCATATCCAGCATTCATAAGGCTTTCTCAGCTATTAGGATTTGTCTGAAGTGCGGAATATCTAGAATTCCTCTCTCCCCCCTTTTTTTTCTACTTTATACTGTACTGAAGTTTTCTGTGCTGGTTTTGTGATGTGCCTTGCCAGATATTTAAGGGATTTCACTAGAGACTTCATCTGAAAAACTTGTACAATCACAAGGAATAAATTGACTTGTCAGGAAAGCAATCTGTTTTGTTCACTCTCCCTTCTCCAGCTTTGAGGCAGTGCTAAACCAGCATAAAGTACGCAAAAGTCTTTGAAAGCAGATGTCTGGCACTTAAGTATCTATATCTCAGATTAATCTTTCTGCTTTCCAAATTCTACCCTCACAGGAGGTATAAAACATCAGGGTTGGTCTGGAAAGTGGGCCTACAGGGGAACGGAGTTTAGAATAGCGGGACAGCACCAGCCCTCATGCTAATAAAGCTGTTAGTTCTGCTGCAGCAAAGGTTTTTCTGCAGTCTCAGGAATGGACCATCTTCCACCTATCTGTAAAACGCATGCTCCAAGGAATCAAGCCAACATGTGGGACTCCATTGGTCTTTGCTTTCTTTGCAGGCTATGGAAGCATGTAAAGATGCAGGCTTGGCAAAGTCTATTGGAGTATCCAATTTCAACCGCAGGCAGCTGGAGATGATCCTGAACAAGCCAGGACTTAAATACAAACCTGTCAGCAACCAGGTATGACTGCAAGCCAAGGGCAGTGCCTGCCACGGTGCCACTGCCCTGTAGGGAACACAGAGGCAACACGTGGCCTAAGCCGCCATGTGCCGAAAGGTGATGTATGCTTTGCCACAGATGCTGCCCTCCATACTGTCACACGTCTATTTCTAGCTTGAAAATATTACTCATCCTATCTAGGCTAAAGATAAATATTTGAAGGTGCTGGAACGATTGCTTTCCTCAGTTCCTGCTCCAGGACTATAAAACTGGTGCCTCTGTGCCAAAGCTCCATAACAAGGTTGAATGCTGAGTCAATACAGATCTTAAATCTCTGCCATGTACCTTACTTCAAGTCCAAAAAATTCCCAAGACAAACCATTCAGAGCTAACCAGTCCTCAATGAAGCCGTGTCTACCTCAGCTGACACCAAACCAAAACAACCCTAAGTATCAGGGATCCTGAGTCACTCTAAGCTTCCCAAGTTTAAAAGCCATTAGAAGTAACTCCTGAATTTCCTGTACTTGCTCTCTTGTGCCTTTCCTATAAGACATCAGTAAGAATTAGAGAAAAACCTAAATTAAAGGGGAGACCACATTAAGCGACCAACTTGAGCTGAACAAGCCCATGGAGATGATAGGCATGTCCAAGTTAAATTACAGTAGTGGGGCTCAGAAAAGGTGGTAAGTGGCAGTGACCCATCTGAATGCCCAATACCTTTGACTCTGGCATTTGGCAGCTCACTGCATTTCCTAGAAATCACTGGGAAGCTCTTCTGACTCATCTGGCACAAACGAACATCCACGTTAGCAGTATCAGAGAAGAGGCCAGAGACCAACTGGGACCAACTTCCCACCCTCAGCGCGTGGCCTGGAGGGCTGGGATTGACATGGGGCCGGGCAGGGAGGCTGGCCATAGCCTCCATTTCTGTCTTTGGCCTGCAGGGAAAGGCAGCCTGTGAGAGGAGGAAATTCCAGCACCCTTTGCTGGTATTAACATGCCAAGCGGGTGCAAAATGCAATTGCTGTTTCTGGAGTGCCCCTAAGACTGCACTGAGCATTGCTGCTGCTTCCTGGGGTCGAGCAAAACCAGGAAAAAGATTAAGCCCAGCTTAGGGCAGCTAGCCAGCAAGCATAGATGTGCCAGCTAGCTTCAGACTGCCTGCAAACAGTGGTTGCTCTGTCACCTTGTAGACATCCCTTTCCCAGAGACTGAGAACGCAGCCAGAAAGTCCCTGCCTGTAAGGGAATGATGCACAGTATTTGCAATGTGGGAGGGCAGACTTGTAACAAGGTCATAACCGTTATGGAGATGTTTCACCTTTTACATATCCTCCCCTCACCTTTCTATCTGGGACAGCTTATGCCAACACTTCCCCTAAAACCAACATCAGATTAGTCATCCTGAATGCAAGAGGCAGAGAAACAAAGATCTGACCTACATGAGATGGGTTGCCTTCTCAGCCTACCTCCCTATTGAGCTTCCCTCACCTCCATCCCCCCCACTTATTCCACCTTTCCACTGGGGGCCAATAAAAATTCCCTGCAGCCAAATTGTAATCTTGGATGTTGATCTGCTGTCCACCACCAAAAAAAAAAAAAATCCATTGTCCAGCAGTGTACAATTAGAACAGTAACCACAGATTGAGTTTCCCTATTCCTTAATTTACATGTATCCTTTCCTGAAAGCATCGCCTGGTCTGTAGCTCTCACAAATATCGGGACACCATCTGCTTGTGTACCTGGTCCTGTTGATTAATTATTCTTTCTACATCACTCTTGTAGGTTGAATGCCATCCCTATTTCACCCAACCCAAACTCTTAGAATTTTGCAGACAACACGACATTGTTATTGTTGGGTACAGCCCATTGGGAACCTCAAGGGATGAAACATGGTAAGTCCCCGTGTTACTTTCTGATAGAAGGACAATATCCAGGAAAAGAATAATAGTTCTCCACTGCTGGATCTCTGTGCAAAATGCCTTTTCCTCCATTTTTCAAAGTAGTTTTGAACTTCAGTGTCTAAATATTACTGTTGTGAATATAAACTTGCAACACTCCTGCTGCATGCTGTCATCAAAAAATGCCAGGTGTCTGTACAGGAGGTCACCTTAGGTGTCCTCTAACAGAAAGCAAGTGTCTGTAACTGGGAATGTTGAGACCTAGGTAAGGAAGTAGAAACTAAGTCAATGTTAGGACATCACATAGGAAGTTGCCTTTGACAGCCTGCCAACCTAAATGCCAAAGCTTTTCTCCCATCTTTCACACTACTTGTCAAAAAGGTGCAGTATTCTGTCCACAAACAAGCAGATGCCTCTATGTTTTGACATTAAAGATAAGGAGGGTTTTTTTGGTTTTCTTTTTTTCCAATTTTCTTCCAGGGTAAATGTCTCCTCCCCTCCTTTACTGAAGGATCCTGTGCTGAATGCCATTGGCAAAAAGTACAACAAGACAGCTGCACAGGTTGCTTTGCGTTTCAGCATCCAGCGAGGGGTGGTGGTCATCCCAAAAAGCTTCAATCCACAACGCATCAAAGAGAATTTCCAGGTAAATTCATACTCCCATGGTGCATGGGTGAATCCACTTACATTGGCTTAGCCCCTATAGAAGGTGATTGTCCCATTTCTTTCTGTAGACATAAGGCTTGACCAATGTCAAGCTTTACCACATTTGATGCTTTTTGTTCCCATCACTTAATGGTACCATGATATGACAATAATAGAGCAAAGTCGAGAGGAAATTTTGGTGTTTTTTAACCCTCTGCAGTAGCTAAAGTTCCAGATGGTGGTGTACCCCAGAGCACCAGTTGCTGCAGTGAGCAGCACAAGCGAGATGAAGTAATTCAGTAGGTCAGCAGCCCCAAGGTTGCTGGCTGCAGGTGTTCAGGAATGACTGACTTGTTCTGCCCAGTCTTCAGGTATGGGGCAGCTTTGTTAGGGGAGGGTTGCTGCATACAGGTGTGCCAGAAAGGCTCATAACCACACCACCAGAAAGCATCTGGCTTGACCACGACACCCAAATAAGATGAAGAATTTGTTCCTGTGTCTCTTGCATCTCTCAGTACCCACACTGCTCCCCGCTTTCCCTGCCGATGTATTGCTTTCAAAGCTGGTGGCCCAGTACTTGCCAGACTACCTTTCTCTTCTTGCAAAAGCATGTAAGCAAATGTGACTGGACTTACTCGTGTCCTCAAGACTTTCCTATAAATGCAAGCAAGTATGGATTTGTGGGGGTGACAGAGGGGAGGAGGGGGGATTGTACTTCTGAAATCTGGAACATATGAATGTTGATTATAACAAGAAATGCTAACTTATTCCTAACATCTCCCTCCATTAGATCTTTGACTTCTCCCTCACTGAGAAAGAGATGAAAGAAATCGAAGCCCTGAACAAAAATGTTCGTTATGTGGAACTGTTAATGTAAGTCCAGGGGGAATCCTAGATCCTCACAGAACATTCCTGTCTTTTCAGAGGATTTTTAAAAAAAATCACGTCCTTTTAATATTAATTTTTGTATAAACAACCTTATTTTAAGGTAAGGCTTAAATATGGGAGGTCTTTAATGCAGCCTGAATATGCTCCTGGACCCCTTGCAAAAATGAGTGTGCAATACTTGCTTACAGCTCAGATGTCAAAAGCCCACCTAGTAGAAAGTGACTGGATCTGGCTATTCCATCTCTGCTCCATCTCCTTAAACGCTTTCTGCTATATGTTGTAATGACAGTTTCAGCCACTCACAAGGAGTAGCATTGCCCCTGTCTAGCAGTGTGGCTATCGGAGCTGAAATTCAAATAGGAGCACTTTCTTGTCTTTCCCCTCCTTCCCACCTTCACTTCCAGTGCTCAGCAAGCCATGTTGCTGCTTGAGTACAATGGCTTATGCATTGTAAACCTGGTGTTTCCAGAGTCAACTTGTCCTAAATTGCCATGTGGAAGGCTAAGAACACTGCTACATGAAACCACAGAGCTGATTTAGGGAGAGCTCTGCTCCTTCTCGCTTAATACTTTCGTCAGAACATCAAAATTTGCCTACCCAACTTCCTCATAAAAGATGATACATCTCAGTGACCGCAAGTGGTCAGAGACTTTGTTTTGGCCTTTCCTCTGATGCCGTCTTCTTCAGCAATCTCCCCCTCCTGCTGTCATGTTGAGTTGAACCTTCTTATATGGAAAGCAGAAAAACATGCAGCTTGTTTGACTGCTAGACCGCTTCCTAACTCTCTTCTGAGAACTAACAAGTCTTGATCTCTTGCTGCTTGTGATATAAAGCTTACGACCCAATGTAGTTTTGCTTCACCTGAAGGCTGCACTACCCCAGAAGGCTCAGACTGACCCAACATCTCCTCTTCCAGAGGATGAGGCTGTTTGTTTTTCCTTCAGCTCAAGAGCATCTACAGTTTATGGCCAAATGCTTTCCCCTTTTCAGGGCACTCAATGTGTAGCCAAATGCTAGAGATTCATTTCCATGCATCTCTCTTGTTACCTTGGATTATCTTTGTCTTGCCAAACGGTAGTGTGCTCAAGCACTAAAAATAATGAAAAGCAGGATAGCAGCATCAATAGCACTCTAAAATGTTGACCATTGCTCAAAAGATGGGGAGAATGTTGCAAAGGAACAAATAAACCACTTACTGTGCTGCATAAATATGATAGGAAATATGAACTAAGTTAAAAGCATCATAATGGAGTTCATCTTTCACATTGAAGCTCACCCAGGTGCTCTGAAGCTTTAGTTTCTTAAAACTTAAAATAGCCTTCCATCAATTAGCAGCACTTACTTCCAGAAGGCTTCTCACAAATGGCCTAGCAGATTCTTATGTGTTTTGGTATTTGAAATTGTTTGGGTTTTCATAGCTAAGTTGAGCTATGATTTAAACTTTTAGTGAGTATATACATGAAACGTAACCTTGGTGTAAACGCAAAAGCCTTTTCCAGAAGCAATGTTAAAGGATGCAAATGCCCATAGGAGAAGAACTTTCTCAACCACCAATCCAAAAACTAATAAACTAAATGCTTTGCTTTATTAGACTAAATTTGGTCACAGGAGGCCACTGAGGACAAGGAAAACAGGATGCACAGAATGGACATTGCCAGCTCTGTTTTTCACAGGAGTGTCATGTTTGGGGAAAATGCTTAAATACAGCCTGACCTCAACTGTGAAAAAGTTGCCTTCTCGGAAAAGTGATGTTGCCATGTAAGGAGCAGCTAAACATTTATCTGCCTACTATGTGTTCTCACACTGAAGTGTCTGGAATTGACACTGCAACAGATGAGTTAACAGCCTAAAGAGATTTCTTATTTCATCCAGCAATATGTATCTGAAAAAAAGTCAAACCATCATACAGAAAGACTTCTGGTTAGTCAACTTTGTGCAAAACCTTCGACTGCTGTGATGC